GGGGCTGGCTGTAGTGATTGGCTACCTGGGCTGTCTGTGTGTGTGTGTCTGTGTGTGTGTGTGTGTGTGTCTGTGTGTGTGTGTGTGTGTGTGTGTGTGTGTGTGTGTGCTGGATGGAGACTGAACCCAGAGCCTTGAGCATTTCAGACAAGCACTCCACCTCAGCCACACCCAGCTTTGACCCATATAAATAAGGACAAAGCCCATCTCCACCCTCACCTGCCAGTCCCCGCCACCCTCTGTGACAGGACAGTCCTGTGAGAGCTCAGAGCACCATCCCTAAGAACCAGGTTTCTCAGTTTCTAGCCTGCACATCTGTGTAGCTTCCCCCGGTCCATCTTGCCCTGCTTTCTGACGTTTATTTGTTTAACACAACCGAGTGACCACAGAGCTTCCTTCCCAGAAGACACCACTGTGCTCGGAGGGGTTATGAAGCAACTCAAAGTCAATTTATGAGGTGCGGACAAGCCGAGGCCGTGGAGACCAGCGTTTTACCACAAAGTCGTCTCCTGTGACCAGCTGGAGGCTTATCTTCAGTACAGGGAGAGGGCCCAATCCTTCCCTTTCCTTTACAGTTCACCATGGAGCCTCCGTAGTTCAAGGGCGCTCTGTTCTTGTTCCGGTGGCTGCCAACTGATTGACAAGGTTTTATAGTTCTGGGAACAGAGAAGAAGTGGAAATTCCAAGGAAGAGACGGGAGACTTACAAAGGGCTTGTAATGAGATACAGGAGTGAGTGAGCTGCAGCGGAGCATCCTGCAGCCAGACAGAAGGGCGTGGCCAGGAAGTTGGTCCTGGGGAACTACACTTGACTTTGAGATGTTTTTTTCCAAAGTCAGGGCTGAGGGCCTCACAGCTCTGGAACCTCATCAGGCCATGATGATTGCACAAATCACCAACGTTTAGCCTGAGCCCAGTCAGGCCCCAACCCAACTGTTCTGAATGTTACAACTTGCACATTTGAGGTCAAGCTCAATTGGATACAAAGAGGAAGGATATTCCCGAAAGGGCAAACTTTTTCCAGGAACACTTTGGCACACAGCCCTCTTTATGCTTTCACTTCAGTTTGTGTTTGGGAACACATCCAAAGTGAGGAACCAGAAAACAAAACAAAACAAACAAACTACCCAGGGGACTGCGAAGACAGCTCAATGGGTACCTGCCGCACAAGCGTGAGGACCTGGATTTGGATCTCCAGTATCCACATAAAAGCCTGACCCAGTAGATTGTGTGCATAACCCCAGCACCGAGGGTGGGGGTGGGGGGTGGGGGGTGGGGAGGGGTGGGCTGGAAACAGAAGGATTCCTAGATCTCACTGACCAGCAAGCCTAGCCAAATGGGTGAGCTCCAGGCTCTGTGGAAGACCCTGCCTTTCTCTGGGGCTGGAGAGCTGGCTCAGGGGTTAAAGAGAGCTGGTTGCTCTTCCAGAGGACCCAGGTTCAATGCCTAGCACCCACGAGGCAGTTTACAACCATCTGTAACTTCAGTTCTAGAGGGTCCCATGCTCTTTCTCGCCTCCTCGGGCACCAGGCCCAGAGGTGGTGCATGGACATACATGTAGGCAAAATACTCATACACATATAAAATAATTAAGAAAGAAAGAAAGAAAGAGAGAAAGAGAGAGAGAGAGAGAGAGAGAGAGAGAGAGAAAGAAAGAAAGAAAGAAAGAAAGAAAGAAAGAAAGAGAGAAAGAGAGAGAGAAAGAGATCCCTGTTTCAAAAAATAAGGCAGAAGAGCAGCCGACGAAGATATCATGAACTTCTGGTTTCTACTTACACATATACACACTTGTGCACACACTGATCTTCCCCCTCCTATGCCGCTCCGAGTCCCTGGGGAAGCTTTCTTGATGGAATCCACCCAATTGACAGGAACTTGCAGTGACCAAGTTCTCTTGTGCCTCGTAGCGGGTTAGATGCTCTATAGACACTCGGAGCTGAGGAAACAGTGTTGAGTCTGTTCTCCATGGGGCTCTGAAGTCTTTGCTCCTCCAGGGACGAGTTCAGAGGTGAGGGGAAAGGATCTGCTCCACCTCTGGCTGGAGTCACAAGCCATGGGGACATAGGCCTGGCCGGACTACCCAGACAGACTGGTGCTCAGGCCCAGCCGTGGGAATCACTAAGCATCTCCTGTACTGTTGAGTCTCACCTCCACGCCACTGGCTGCCTGGCAAGTTATCAAGCTGACTTCCAAATATTAATTTATCCTGATTATAGAGTTTGAGATACCTTCTGAAAGTTGGCTTTTGAAGGGGAATGCATAAGTCACTCAACCCAAATAGAGGCCCAGGCCAACTTCTGATGGATAGAAACATGTCCAGAAACAGCTGCAGGCCAGAGATGAGTTCTGAGAAAAAAAAAAAAATCACATGAAGCTGCAGGGACGGGTAAGTCCTTCCGGAACTGAGTGTCCCAAAGTGAGTGCCATGGAACAGCAGTGCCATGGAGTGCTTCTCCAAAACCAAAGGCATGTGGAGACAGACTGCTGGGTCGGGGAAGCAATGTATGTCTCAGCTCCCCAGTTGGATACTCACTGTGGATTCGAACAGGCTAGAGGCTCTGAGGCTCTCGGGTTATGAAATGTTACTTTTCTAGTTCAGTCAACTTAGGTAAGTCTGTTCTGTGTGTTTATTTATTGTGTTGGCTAGATTTATGTCATCTTGATATAAGCTAGAGTCATTTGGGAAGAGGGACTCTTACTTGAGAAAATTTCTTCATAAGATTTGCTTGTAGGAAATTCTGCAGGGCATTTTCCTTCCTTCCTCCCTCCCTCCCTCCCTCCCTCCCTTCCTTCCTTCCTTCCTTCCTCTCTCTCTCTCTCTCTCTCCCACCCTCCCTTCCTCCCTCTCTTTCTTTCCTTTGAACAGGGTTTCTTTGTGTACCCCTGGTTCTGTAAACCAGGGTGGCCTTGAACTCACAGAGATCCACCTGCCTCTGCCTCTGAGTTCTGAGTGTTAAAGGTGTGCACCACTACCATCAGGCCCTGTATGCATTTTCTCAATTAGTGATTGAAATGGGAGGGTCCAGCCCATTCTGAGTAGTGCCATCCCTGGGCAGGTGTCCCTGGGGTGTGTAAGAAAGCAGGCTGATAGCCTAAGACATTTACATACACTTATTTTTGAGGCAAGGTCTTACTAGGTAGCTCTCACTGGCCTTGAACTCACAGAGATACGTTTGCCTCCTGAGTGCTGGGATTAATGTCAGTGTTTTAAAGGGAAGTTTGAGTACTCACCATAGTCTCTTACAGACAGATGTTTGTTAGCTGGAGCCCTCTGCATGGACACAGAGTTGTTGAGCTAGTCTCTGGAGCCTAGGAACCAGGAATCTCCTGGTAGAAGTGACTGACATCTGATGTCCACTTCTGGATGCCACATATGTGAGCACGTGCGTGCGCGCGCACACACACACACACACACACACACACACACACACACACACGTAACAGTTTCCTCTAAGACTGAAACATTGCATCCAGCAGGGAAGCTCCTTAAGCAGGAAGGCAAACAACTCAAAAGAGCTGAAGAAGTCCCTGAAACTGAGCAGAATCTCAATGTCCCTCCTTGCCAGAGTAAACAGTAAAAGCCGAGAGTCTCTCTCACAGAGAGTAAAGTGAAGTGACAAAGAAGACTCAGAGCAGCCAAGCTGAAGAGAAGATTCTGAGACGAGACCAGCAGCATGAAAGAAACAGAAACCAGCTGAGCTGCCTGGAATGGTTTAGACTAACCGAGTCACCTGGAAGGGAACTCTCCAACCTGCTCATCTGCCTGCAGGCTGTGCAGTGTGCTCCAGGTTCCCAGCTTTGTGAGCTGTCACCCATACTGGGGTGGACCTTGGTGGTGCAATTGTCTTCCTTTCTGCTCCTGTAAGTGACCCCTCACCCATATTCCTGTGAGTGACCCCTCACCCATATTCCTGTGAGTGACCCCTCACCCATATTCCTGTAAGTAACTCCAATAAAACTCATTGGTTCACCCAGTTGGACTTCGGTGGTGTCCGTACTTCGGTCTGTCCTGGGTTCCCTGTCTGGGGTGAGTAGATGTGTGTGTTGCTTCTCCCCAGGAAAAGCTTGTCACACAACAACATGTGCACCTCAATCACATACACAAATGAAACAAAGAAGAAATCTACTTATGCTCCCAGCTTATTCTATGATGCAAGTACTACCCTGATATTAAAACCAGGCAAAATCATTATGAGAAAACTAGACCAAGATATATTATCATTATCAACGTGAATCTTTAGCAAAACACTAGCAGTCCAACCCAGCAACACACGAAAAGGATTAGACACCATGACCAAGTGAAATTTATCCCAGAACTCAACGCTGGCTTAGCATCCAGAAATCAACTGATGTTATCCATCATGTCAACAGAATAAAAGACAAATACCATGTAATCATTTCAATGTTTATTGAGAAATAATGGACAAAATCCAATACCCTGTCGTAATAAAAGCATCCAACAGACCAAGAACTGAGGAGTAAAGCACTTCCTCACTTTGTAAAGGGCATTGAAAGTGAGAGAAGGGGTGGAGAGAGAGAGGAAGGGAGAAGAAACTTCTAAACAAACTAATATTAGCATCATACTCAACGGTAAAAGATCAAATGCTTTTCCCTTCATTTCAGGAATAAAATAAGGATTTACCTTTAGGAAGTGAAACGTCTATATTTTCAGATCGCTTGGTCTTTGGTATAGAAAATACTAAGGAACCCATTTAAAACAAAACAAAACAACGACCTCCTAGGATACCCGGGAGACGGTTCCATCAGTCAAGTGTTTGCTGTAGAAGCCTGGAGACACAGAGTCCAGATCCTCAGCACATGTGAAAGTCAGGCATGGTAGCCCAAGTCAGTGCTGGTGGTAGGTGAACGGAGACAGGAATATTCCTGGGGCACATGCACATGTGAACTTGTGCAGACACCACACACACACATGAACTTGTACACACGCCACATGCACATGCACAACATTTACACAGACACACCCAAACAAACTATTAGATCAAGGTGTGGAGGCACATGCCTGTAATTCCAGCAGCTGGGAGCTGAGCTAAGAGGATTGTAAGTTCAGTACAACCTGGGCTATGTGATCTTCCAGACAGGAAAATCAACCCCTCTGCCCCCAAACTGATAGAACCAATAAGCAAGTTCAGTAAGATCACAAGTTTCAAAAGTCAGTTGTGGGCTGGCGAGATGGTTCAGTGGGTAAAGGTGCTTGCTGCTAAGCCTGATGATGTCAGTTTGATCTCTGGGCCCCACATGGTAGGAGGAAAAAGTGGACTCCCATAATTTGTCCTCTGACCTCCCCATGTGGTCCATAACACAAGTATGTGCGTGTGCACGCGCGCGCGCGCGCGCACACACACACACACACACACACACACACACACACACACGCGCTCGCATGCGGGGGTGCACACACACAATTAATGTAAACCAGAATTTTGAATAATACTAAAAACATTTTAACTCCAAAGCACCCCAGTGAGAGACTAAAAGGTGGGAGTTGCTTGCAGAGGTTTTTGCCTGTGGCGCTGTTTAAGAAAGGGTAACTTTTCCTTCCTTTTAGTTCTTTTGGACACTGGCCAACGCCTGGGCATGTTTTCCCTAACACCCTGGGCTTTCTTACTCATCATCCCCCCCCCCCCCCCCCCCGCATTTCTGCCCTGTCCCTGCTTGCTGACTTCCCTTCCCTGAATGGCTTTCTCCCACCCTCCTCCCCATCTGCTGCCCTCTGCCCAGTAGCTGCGGACGGACGTGACAGCTGGCCTGTCCCGTGTTTCTCTTAAATTCTAATAAAATTTCCTCAGCTTTAAAAGAAAAAAGTGGAAGGCAATTTATAGAAATGGAGAAACTACTTGCAAATCGTGTATGTGATAAGAGTCCAGAAAATGTAACGAAGTCTTATAAGTCAAAACAAAACAAAACAAACAAACAAACAAACCAACCAAACAAACAAACAAAAAAGGTGAACTGGCTGGGGAAATGGCCCGGTTCTCTGTAAAGTATTTGCCACGTAAGACAAGGACCTGAGTTTGGTCCTCAGAACCCACATTTTTAAAAAAATAAAATAAAATAAAGTAGCCAGGCCTGTGGCTCACGCTTGTAGTCCTGACACTGGAAAGGAAGAGACAGGCAGATCCCTGGAGATTGTTGGGCAACCAGCCTCACCCTCTTGATGAGCTCCGGGCTAATGGCATCTGAAGAATGACAGCTGATGTCTCTGGCCTTCACCTACACACACATATACAGGTACACACACACACACACACACACACACGTACACAGGCGCATGCGTGCGCGCATGCACACACACACACACACACACACAGTAAATAAAAATAAAAGTAAAAAGTCAGAACAACTCAATTTAATAATGTGTAAAGGACCTGAATAGATGTTTTCTCAAATAAGATATACAAATATGTTACTTGATAAACATATGACAATAAGTACATGAGAAGACACAACACCCAGCTCTCACTGAAATCCAAATCAAAACTGTAATGGGATCTTCCTTCTCCCCCACTGGGATCCCAGCCGACAGTTAACAGCTGTTGATGTGGAAACAGGAACAGACAATGGGAATTAAAAAAAAGATGCAGCTGCCTCTGAACATAATCTCTATATTTCCATGGTAAAAATGGCTACTCTACTTCCCAATTTCAGTCCATCTCCCGTGGTTGTACACTTACCTCTTCAAAGAGAGGAAAGTTACAGTAGCCTTGGTCAGGGCTCTGTGGAGGCCCACTAGGGAAAGTTACTTCTCTAGCCTGGGTGTATACTTAACATCCCAAGCTACCCTGATCAGAGTTACCATGTGATCCAGGAACTCCAAGGTGTGTATTCAGGAAAATTAAAAACATGCATACACGCAAACACTCATACATGAATGCTTACAGAAGTATTATTCAAAATATCACAAACAGCCCAAATATCTATCAATTGATGGATGTCAAAAAAAAAAAAAAAAAGCAATGTATGTGTACAATGGAATCTTATTCAGCTATAAAAATGAGTGAAGTGCTGACTCGAGTTCCTGGATGAACCTTGAAAACATGCTAAGTGAGAAGGCCATGTATTCTATTAGCAGAGTATCTTGTTTGTTTGTTTGTTTTCGAGACAGGGTTTCTCTGTGTAGCTTTGCGCCTTTCCTGGAACTCACTCTGTAGACCAGGCTGGCCTCGAACTCACAGAGATCTGCCTGGCTCTGCCTCCCGAGTGCTGGGACTAAAGGCGTGCACCACCACCGCCCGGCAAATCTTGTATATGTTGTTTGCTGGAGACTGAACTCAGGGCCTTGCACATGCTGGTTGTGCTGGTTTGAATGAAAACAGCCCCCATAGGCTCATGTGTTTGAATACTTCATCCCTGTTGGTGGAACTGTTTGGGAAGGATTAAGAGGTGTGGCCTTGTTGGAGGAGGTGTGGCATAGTCTTGGAGGTTTCAAACGATGCTAGCCATCCCAGTGTTCTCTCTTTACAGCCTGCTTGTGGGTAGATGTGAGCACTCAGCTGTTTTTGCCCCCATGGCTCTGCTCTGTCATCCTGGACTCTGACCCTCTGAAACTGTAAACTCAAACGCTTTCTTTTATAAATTGCCTTGGTCATTTTTTTTTTTTTTTAAATTAGTGGCTGGAGAGACAGCTGTGGGTACTGGGAACCGAACGCTTATGTTTTTAGTTGTGAGCCTAGCCTTTAACGGCTGAGCCATCTCTCCAGCCCAGTCATGGTGTTTCATCACAGGATTAGAAAAGTAACTGACCAAGTACTCCACCACTAAGCTGTACCGCCCCCCACAAGCCCTATTTATAATCCCTACTACCAAATAAAACCATACACATTCTAGAACCTCAGACATTCTAGGCAAGGGCTCTACCACTGAACTATAGCCCATTCCACTTTTTATTTTGAGACAGAGTCTTATTAAGTCAGCCCGGGTGGCCTAGAACTCATACGCTAGCCAGCCAGGCCTTGAACTTTCCATTCTCCCACCTGAGCCCTTTGAGTAGCTATATTTAACAACCCTGAGCTCCAAGTTTCGGTTTCTAATCCCGTTTATATAAAGTATGCACAATAGATTGTTTCATCCTCCTCCTCTTTTTCTGGGACAGAAGTCTTGATATATATACATATACATGGCACAGGCTGGCCTTGAACTCATTATATAGCTCAAGATTACATAGCCTCAGACTTGTGGCCATCCTCCTGCCTCAGCTTCCCAAGTGCTAGGATTAATAATGTGAGCTATCACACCCTGGTAAGGATTTCTTTTTTTTTTTGTTTTTTTTGTTTTTTTTGTTTTTCGAGTCAGGGTTTCTCTGTGTAGCTTTGCGCCTTTTCCTGGGACTCACTTGGTAGCCCAGGCTGGCCTCGAACTCACAGAGATCCGCCTGGCTCTGC